CTGCGGAGGGGAGCGCTGGCTCGGGGCGGCGCAGCTCGGCCTGATTACGGGCCCCGCAGCGGGGCGGAGGCTCGGTCACGGCCGAGACGTGCTCTGGACCCGGCAGGCAGGGCTGAAAGCCAGGCCGCTAAGAAGCCACGTCCTCCCCTGGGGCGCTGGGCCCCTGCGCCCTAGGAATCCTGGTGGTTGAAGGGAATATGCTGGGGGGCAGTGGGTTGGCAGAGAAGGAACTGGATCCTAGGTCTGCAGGGAGGCTGTAGCCCAGGCCGGGAGAAGCCCCCTTATCTCCTTTCTGCCCAAAGGCTAGGTTTGGTGCTCCTGCCAAATTAGGTGCCTATCATAACAGGGTAGTGGTTGTCCGCATGAATGCGGGACTCAACAAGCTCAGGTGTGTGATTCAAGCTTTGCCTCTTACTATGCCTCTGGGGAAATTACTTCTTTGGGCCTCAGTTTCCTCATCTGCAAAATGGGATTTTTTAAAGGAGCTTCCTCAAGTTGATATGCTCTGAAAGGTTTGGCACAAACAGGTCAGTCCCAGTCTGCTATGGCCTGAATGCTTGTGCCCCTCCACCCCAAATTCAAATGTTGAATTGAGTGATGATATGAGTAAATGTGCATCTCTTCTCACAGCCATTACTCAAAGGAAGATAATGCATCCGAAGACATTTCATTTGTAGAATCTAATGAACTAAACATCATCAGGTATTCACATAAATGGAAACTTTGGTGTGTCATTTGCCTATTAGGACCTATCATGATGGTGTAATAGCTCATCAGGTTTTGAAAATTAGAAGAAATAATGCACGTAAAGTACTTGGCACAGTACCTAGAACATGGCATTTGCTCAATAGAAGTTAGCTATTGCTAATATTAAGATATCAGTGACTGCCACCCTGAGGGTGCAAGCACGCATCCTTGGTAGTTAGGATGGATTAGGTTCTGCTGCATAAACAGAAAGTACACTGTTCAATGCCACACCCAATCCTTACCCACTTCCCTTCCCAGAACCACCCCCCCCCATCCCAAACAGGCTTTTCCTAAGAACATATCTAATAAGTAACTTTCATGTGAATCTTCATTTTGAGGCCTGCTTCTGGAGAATGCAATCTAGGACAACCACCATCCATCACTGATACTGGGACCAGTCAGAGTCTGAGCCAGTTCAACCAATCAGAACCCAGCAGCACCCTCATCCCTGCTGGCCACACTCACACCAATAGTACCTAAGGCTCATGCCAGGTACTACACAATGGCTCGGCATATATTAACTGAGTCAATCCTCACAGTAACTCTCTGAGGTAGACACTCTTATTATCCACATTTCCAGATAAAGAATCTGAGAACCAGAGAAGTGAAGTGACCTGCACAAGGTCCCACAGTTAGTAAGTGGTTGAGGCTGAATTTAAATGGAGGCAGTTTGGCTCTTAGAGTTTGGTTCTCAAAGTGCCCCTGGAGCTGTCACCCCAAGGCATCCAGGAGAGCTCAGTAACTGAATGGCAGGAGTTAATGTGAGCAACAGAACAGTTGGGAAGTGAATTATCCATGGCCAATAAACTAATTGGGTTAGAAAAGCAACCCAAATGTCTATAAGAAGAAATTTGAATGAGGTTAAGAAAAAAAAACAGAGTGATTAAAAAAAAAAAATACCATGAGTTTGTGTATAATGTTTTCCTGGGGCCTTGCTCACCCTTGACTCGGGGCACCTCTGACATCCTGGACATCCTGGGTCTGGGATCCTGTTACCCAGAGAAATAGTTCCTGTTAGAGCCTCCTGCCCAAGATCCAGGTGACAGGTGAGTGGACATGGACACACACATACCAACACACACACACACACACAGAAGGAGGTGGCATCTTTAGAAAGCTAAGGAAGCCCAAGCTGCTCCCATGAGGCCTCTGTTGTCTAGATTCCTCCTCCCAGAAGCTGGTGATGGCAAAGCTTCATCTCCTCTAGGTGACGGCCAAGGGAGATGATGCTGGGGAGGTCACTGTGAGCAGGAGTCAAAGTGATGGAGAAAGGCACAGAATATAAGGCAAGGACCAGGGTGGTCAAGACAGTTTCTTCATTCACATGCTGGTGCGTGGGCTAGGCTGGCTAGGAGTTGGATGCTAGCCAGCACCTCGCTCTGTTTCTCTGTCCCTGTCTCTCTTTTCATGTAACCTCTCCTCCTGGCTTGGGCTTCCTCACAGCATGGATGTGTCAGGGTCCTCTGATTTCTTTCGGGGTGGCAGGCTTCCACCCAAGAATGCAAGCAGAGGCTGTGCAGCCTCTTAAAGGCCAGGCCTACAACGGACTGTGTCACGTCTGCCAAATTCCACTGGTCAAGCCAGTCATAGGGACCAACCAGCTTGAAGGTGAAGGGAAAAGGACCCCACCTTTCAGCTGGAGGAGTGGCCAAGGATTTACTCTGCCACAGTCTATGACATAAGCAAGATACAAAGCTTAGTTGTTAAGTTATGAGGATGTGGGGATTGTTTGTTATAGCAGCTGTCCTAGACTGACTAATATTGTAACTCAAATTGAAGGACTCATTCACATCTTGCTTCGGAAAGGAATCCCTTTCTACAGGGAACATCTGGTAAAGAAGCAAAACTGAGAAAGAATAGAAGACACTGTACAAGGAGAAATCTCGCTTCTTGTAAGGACCTCATTCTTCTGAACTTCCAACTCCTTTGGCATTAAGGGAAAATAAGTTCAAGCAAGAGATATACGGACTCCTATCTAATTCAAAAAACAGCTTTTATTAGGAAAATAAAGCTAGTAGCCAAAATGATCTATAGCCAAATGGACTGTGTTGGAAAGGATGAGGTGTTTGAGCAGAGACTGTGTCCCTGGGGGAGGAACCCAGTCCTCATCACTTCCATCCCCAAGACTAGTTTTATTCAAACCCAATGAGACCCTAGTTTGGTGGGGAACTTTTCCATCCTTGGCTAGAAATCTAAACTCTAGATCATACTGAACAGGGAGCATGAGCAGTCATCTTTCTAGGAAGTTCCAAGGTCAAGTAATAAGAAATTGGTCCTTGGCATTTAATAAGAGTAACATATTTTATGAAAGTCTTTTGTGATCTACTGTGAATTTCTCTAAAATAGAAATCAAGTCTTAGGCTTGCTTCTTCCTTTCTGCTTCTCATCCCCAACACCCAATGCTTCAGCATGACCTGCCATCTCTCTCTCTAAAATATACCCTGTATGTGTCCATTTCCTTCCATCTCTGCTGCCTCCAATGGTCTAATTGGCCATCATTTCCTGCCTGTAGTACCACACCAGTCACCTAATGGGCTGGGCCACCTGCTCATCTCCTCCTGTTCCCCCATCCTCAACTATGACAATCCATTCTGCACACTTGAGCCTTAGAAATGGTTTTGACATGAATCATGGGCTGGCCTGATTAAAACTCCCAACGGTCTCTCATGGCACTTAGAGTCAGAATCTCTGCTATGACTGGACACTCTACAAGTTTTGGCCTTTTCATGTCTCAGTGACTTCATCTCTTACCCTTTTAACCTCACAGCTTATGCTCAGCCACAATGGCTTTCTTCCAGTTACTCACACACATGCAGAACAGTTCCACTTGCTTCTCCCTCTGCATGGAATGCTATTTTCCCCCATCATCTTCTTGTCATCCTTATCTCTGCTCAAAGTCACCTCATCAGGGTACTTTTCCTGATCAGTATGTAAATTAGAGACCCATTATTCTCCACCCCCCTACTCTGCTTCATTTTCTTTCTGTCATCAGTTTATTTGCTTATTTGTTTTTTATCTTATGTCTTCCCCCATAAAATGTTATTTCCACAAGATGCCTTGGCTATCTCGTGTTCCCTGTTGTACTGCTAGAGCCCAGAACAGGGTCTGAACAGAGTAAGCATTCAAGAACTATCAGTGATCTAGTAAAGAAGCAAAGCTGAGGGAGGATAGAGGACACTGTACAAGGAGACGTCTCTGGTCCTTATAAAGGCCTAATTTTTGTGACCTTCCAACTCCTTTGGTGCTAAAGGAAAAGAAGTTCAAGCAAGAGATATACGGACTCATATTTCGTTCAAAGAACAGCTTTTATTAGGGAAATCAAGCTAGTATTCAAAATGACCTATAGCCAAATGGGAAATGAATGGATATTTGGAGCTCCCCCAGCCCTCCTAGAGCACAGCAGGTGACCTCCGACTTTGCTGAGCAACTGAATAGACACTGAGATTGGCTATGGCTTCATGTTGTCACTAATGTCATGATTCTGGGTGTAGGTACCTGCAGCACGGTGATTTTATTCGTCAGAAGGGTCTCTGAAATCCAAGAGAGAATGATGTGGGAATTTGCAGTATGGGGTCAGCCCACAGGGATACTGCCCAGCTCCATTCTGAGCTTCCAAAGTCTCTTCCATCTACCTCCTCCCTGGACTGACTCTCACCCTCCAGCGGGAGCATCTGATCCAGTAAGAAGCTGGATCTTCAAGGCTTGGTTAAAACAGATCACCACCGCTCTGAGTGTACAGGTATGTTTCTGAAAGGACAGGCTTGGTGGATAAAACATGCAGTCAGAGTTTCTTGAATACTAGTGTTCAGAAAATACTGGGAGACAGTAATTTTGTTTTTTCCCTTTTCCTTCCATGCAGGCGGGTGGCAAGTCTGGTGTTTGATTGCCTCAGGGAAGGAATGTGTCAGGGCTGAAGACAGAAGTATCCCCCAAGATTTCTGTTGTTCTGAGAACCTAAACTGGCTGAGGATAGGTTTGTGGGAGAAGAGCGAGTGGCTTGGAAGACTCTGGAAAGAAAGAGAGGGGCTTCTCTCTAAGAAAAATTGATTATCCCTGGGCTGGGGTAGGAGAAGGAGGCCAGTGGGTCCCTGGAGTAGTGGGAAGGCAGAGGCCACCCACGGGAGAAATAGGTATGGCAGTGCATCCGTGGACATAGACTGTAGGCACTGGGTTCCCAGCCTGCTGCATAGTCCTGTGTCCCACCTCTGGGTGGAAGCTGCAGGAAGAACTCAGAGCTGAGAAGAAAGAAACCAATGGAACTCTCAGGGGTGATCCATGACAGAAGATTCTGTCCCCATGCCTGGGTGCTGCCTAAGACCCCAGATCCTTGATTATATAGCCTGGGTTGTGCCAAGGGAGGCCCTGACAAAATGAGGTGGAAGGTCCTGTAGTTCTGTGAAGTTCCAAATGGGAAATGGGGTTGGTTATTGAAAGTGGAGAGGCATAACCTTTCTTGCGCCCCTGACTTTTGAGACAGGGTGTTGCCTCCACTCTATATTTAGCGTTGGTGGGCCGAGAACCCAGAGAAAGAGGAAATGGTTGGTGAGCACGAGTACAGTGTTCCCGGCTGACCAAGGGGGCGGCCTTGAGCCTGTCCTTGGTTCCCAGGTGTCCTTGAGGAGGTCTAGAGCACTTGAATTCCCCCGCACTTCTGTATTCACAGTTAAAGAAGTAATCCATGCCTAATGATGCCATAAACACCATCACACCTTCTTTTGTGTAAATAATGTCTGATAAAATGAGGTGTGAGCCTGCTGTTGCAAAGAACACTTAGCTGTTAAATGCTTTCCTTTCCACTCCATTGACTTTCCCTATTTATAGCTATTCCAGCCCAGCGGTTCCTGTCATATTCATTTCCTGCCAGCTGCTGGTTTCCTTATCTTAGGGAAACACAGAGGTGCCTCCCTAGCACCACCCAGTTGCCATAGCACTAGCCTCTGCTTGGGTCAGGAGTCGACAGAGAAAATGCAGTGTGTGGTCTTGTCTGGCTTCCTCTCTGGACTTGGCCCAGAAGCTTTTTTTTATCAGCTGAGACAGTAACAGTTCCTTGACCTGGGTTTATCTGCTGGTGTAGAACCTTGTAGAGGTGAGCGGCGTATCCCGCGAGGTGATTTTTAAAAAACATGGGTGGGAGGAGGTTTTTTGTCTTGAAAAGAGGACGTAGGGTGTGGAAGTGCCAGCTAATGAAGAGCCTCCAGTGACTTCTAAGGAGGATGGCGACAGACTAATACAGACACTGATACTAAAAGTAACACAGGTCGTTTGTCTTTACTGAGTTGTTTGCTGCGTACGAGCACAGTACTAAGAACTTAAATACATTATCCATTTAACCTCATCCCAACCCCAGGAGGTAAGTCTCGAGTATTGATCACAGGGGAATCCACTTATAGGAGGAGATAAGGTATTGTGGCTGGTGAGCAGAAGTAAAATGAATTATGTGGGCACATTCGTGAGAATCCCTGGAGGTCAGCTAAGTCTCGTCTGCAGAAAGTAAAAATAAGGAACTAACAAACTGTGGGATGTTTTGCGTCTTTGGTCCCCACGAGTGGATTTTAACCAAGTAGAATTTAGATCTGGTTGCCCTGGTAATAGGACTCTCACTCTAGGATAGTAACATTATAAGGAGGAAATGTGAATGAAATAAACACTAATTAGAGAAAGAGCTGTGAGTGGCCCAGTTAGCACCACCTGGGGGCAGGTAGACAGTAGAGGAGGGTAGGAGGGAACACCTCTGTGTTATGTACAGATGTTTCCTTGAGAGAGCCAGGCACGGCCAGTGTCTTTGCTTTCTCCCACAGACTTTGATAAAAAATAAAGGAGAATAAATCATACAGTTGCTTAATCCACATTGACTTTCTTTTCTACCATTGGCAGAGCTGCCTGAAGAAATGTCTTCCTGGTGGTGAAAGACCATCCTCCTAGTGACATGGTGACATATGGCTCTGTCCTTGGCCTCGGACACTGTGGCCCTGGCTGACCTGGGACCTGAGACGGGCAGCAGAAAGTCAGTCCTTGCCTCTGTAAGCAGACAGTGATTTTGACAATCTGTCGCTTAGATTTCTCTTCCTGTCCTTACTCCCTGGGTTGGGCATGCACTGAAAGAGTAATGGGGATAGACCAGGGGGTCAGAGTTCTTACTACTGAGATGACTGTGTAGAGGAGAAAGCTGAGGTTCAGAAAGGCTAAATCATACATATGTAAAGCAGGGGTTAGAACCCAAATGCTTGTGACTCTAGTTCAAGCATACCATTCCTTCTAGCCTCTTCTGTACTTCTCAAAACCGAAGAGACTGAAAGGGTACAAAGAAGGTATAATAATTGATTATTTAAAAAATGGTAAAAATCCTTCCTTCTCTAAATCCTTTTCCTTTGCAAGATGACTCTGAAGTTCCTCTTATCAAGGGGCACTTCACTCTGGAAACGGGGCTGGCCTTTCTGCTCCGGAAGTGATGATGTATCAGCTCTGAGCCCAGGCCTCAGGGGCTCTTGGAAGCTTTCCTCCGCCCCCTGGAACCCTGCCATGGCCATGTGAAGTAGCCCAGGCTGGCCTGCTGGACAATGAGAAACCCCATGGAGTAGAGCTGAAGACCCCAGTGACTGCAGATAACACAAGAGCAGCCGGTGATGGCCCAGAACAGCGCAGCCAGCCCAGGGACTCATAAGCGACAGTAAGTGTTCATTGCTGTATGCCCCTGCTCTGAAGTTCTGCGATTGTTTGTTACCCAGCCCTATTGTGGCAATAGGTAACTGATACAGAGAGCCATGGAGACTCCACCATGGAAAGATGTACAATAGAATAGTGGGTAGCAGGATGGCGAAGCAGATTCAGCAGGTCACGAAGACTCTAGGAATCTGAAACCCTCTGAGGATGTTGCACTCATTGATGGAAAGAGAAAATAGATATTATCTAATACCATCCTCGGAGACATTGCCCTTGGAGATAGAAAAAGAAAACCAACATTCTGCACCAGGCTGTGTAGAGTCACTGTTCCATTTGTCCTTCATCGCCATCTCCATGGACACCATTTCATGGGAAATGGGGAAGAGACATGTGCAAGGTCACTCAGGGAAGACATGGCAGGGTAGGGATTTCCATCCAGGTCTGAAGGACCCCAAAGATCACCTTCTTCCTAATCAACTCTGTGTTTTCCATCTAGTCCTGGAGGATGCAATCATTACACAGGGTCTGTGCTGAGCATGAGATTTCCTAGTTGGATGGGAGATAGTCTCTGTCCCTAGAGCTCTGGAATTCCATGTGGAATGAGGTGTTTGGGGTGCAATGAGGCAAGTCTACTCAGAGTACTTTTCCCTCTTGGTAGATAAATGCTGGATCAGAAGGGTTTGGATTCGAGTAATGATTAATGGATGATGGTTTCCATAACTTGATGCCTTTGATTCCCCACCCTATTCCTTGTCTTGACATGAGCTTGGGATATGGATCCTGGTTACAGGGTTAAGACAAGACTGACGTCAGGGCAGCTATTCCACTGGGTTCTGGATTTAGCAGTGTTCTAGAATGAGTTATGGAGAGGTCCCTAAGGTTATACTTAGATTAGACGTTGGCTTGTGTCTGAGTTGCCCTGGGAGCTGTTGGGGCCTTGCCTAGCTTTGATTTGGCTAGGCTTGGACCCAGTTTTGTGCTCCATTAGGTTATGTACTTGGCTTTGGACACCAGAGTCTTGGCTGAGCTGGGATCTGAGATGGATAAGGCAGGTGGGTTCAGGCCACCAGCCGGTAATGACATCTCCTTTACTGTCCTTTCCTTCTCTTGCTCAACCTGGCCCTAATATCTCATCTCCTGGAAGGGCTTCCTCACCCTCATTAGCAGAAGGCTGTACTTTCTCTTTCCTCCAGGATTGTACATGTAAAAGCATGCTTCCCCAAACAAGTATACCACTTCCCTGGCACTTGCTATTGGCGAATCTTGTGTTAATCTACACCCTAGAATCCAGAGCAGGAGAACTTTAAGGACAGATTCCGACTGAAAAATGTCAAAGCAGTCCTTTACAAGGCCCTGTGGCCAGTGGATGGAAGGAGCCCCACACTTCCTGGGGTCACCTCCTGAGTGCACTGGGGATGCCAGGCTGGGTGCAGTGGGGCTCATTTTGTGTAAAGTGAGCTGAACAAACGTGGGGACCTGGGATGCTTTCTTAGCTGGGGTGTTTTTTTGGGGGGGTTCTCAATCAGAAAAGTTGGTAGCTGCTCTATTTTGCAACCAGGCCAGTGGGCAGCTGGCTGCCTGTGCTCAGTAAAAAGCCATAGGACCAGAAACAGGTTTGTTTCCAACTTCAAGATTCTGGACAGCACTGATGGAGATGGGGCCTCAGCTGGGAGCTGCACTCAGCGAAGACAGAGGAGCAAGGAGATGGGAAATTTAATAATCACATTAAAAAATTAAACACCAGGCCCCAGTGGTTGTCTCTTTTCATCCACTGAGATTCACAACACTTGACATCCAATTATAATAGTGGGTTCCTATAAAACAGCCCATTAACTGAAACTATAAATTATTATTGCTTATGTGGAGTAGGAGGCTGGTTTAGTAGCTGATACTGAGGATTATGGAAATGATAAACAAGCAGCAATGTTTCTTTGAGTCCTCTTGCTGGGGGGAAGATGTATGCACTGTGGAGGAGAGAAGACTGCTGCCCAGGAGCTGGGACCTATGCTCTGTGCCCCAACATACAGCTGACTTTGTGTTTGGTGGAGAGAGGGCTGCTTTCTCTACTGCTCCTCTGTTTACCATCTGGTTGGTCACTTTCCTATGTGGCTGTACCTGAGGAATTGGAATATAAACACACACACACACACACACACACACACACACACACACACACACTCACATTATGTAACTCCTCTGACCACTCCTGAAGGAAAAATCAACATACACTATAGATTCAAGAAAACACTTTTAAAAATTCTTAAAGAGCTTCTTCCATTCTTTGTCAATCCCTGAGTGGGCCACTTCTGCTCTCTCCATTCCTTGTCTTCTGGCAACACTACTTCCTGGGAGGGAAGGGCCAGTTGCCAAGGATTCTTCACATCCCCAGCAGAGTTTATGGAGTTTTCTGTCAGTCTGTCTGCATCCATTTCACATCTTCCAGGAATTCCTCAGAGTTTCTTGTCTACTGTAGTAGCTTCCTCTCTTTTCCAGGGTTACTAAGATTTATGCTTTTTATCACTTCAGTGGTATTTTGGGAGAGACATGTATACTAAATTCATCCTCTAGAAACCAGAAGCTGCCCATTGCATTTTAAAATTTGTAAGCTTTTTCTCTTTTTAAACAGGGAGAAGAATAGGTAGCATTAGGGACTGCTTTGCCAAACATTTGACAGATATCATCACATTTATTTTCTTGAGAATTCTATGAGATAGGGACTGTCCTTACCAGTCCTTTTTACAGATGGCGATACTAAGGCACAGAGAGGTTGAGTTCACAAAGCTAGTGAACAGCAGAGCCAAAATTTGAAGCTGGCTTGTCTAAATCCAAAGCCTGTCCTTTTAACCTAACCTATGCCTTCTTTTGGCTAGAAAGAGTATTTCTTAATTATTCTCTTTTTATAAAATGTAATGTCTTGTGAAATCTCAAGAAAATGTGAGGTAGGAATATTTATTGAAAAAACTTCCTCATTTTTCTTGGCTTATGTTGAAGCATATCCTGATTTAAACCCCTGAACCTCCTCTTAGGCCCTCCACCCCCTGGTAATTTTTCTGTCCTTGGGCATCTTTTCAGAGAGAGATATTCTATTCCATTCCTAGGTTTTAAGAAATAGTTTCTGTCAGAGAACCCATGAGTCCTTCTTCAATCTTTTTGGCTCAGGCAGAGGCGAGGGGGCCACTTGTAGTTTTGTAATTTTCTTTTGCTGGCCTGAGGTTTGGGGTGCCTGTGGTGAGTAGGAAGTGAGCTCCTGGGGAGTCAGCATTGCAGAAGAGAAGTTTCCTGCTGGGCAAAGCAGTTTCCTTTCTGAGTTTATTTTGGCAGTAGATGTTAGTAGGGCGCAGCCTTCTCCTCTCGTGCCCTCATTAGCAGCTCGCTGTGGACATGCCTCCTCGTGTCTTGGCATGCTGTTCTGGGGACTCGCCAGGGCCAGCAGCCCCGTGGCCCCGCATCTCATGTCCCGTGTCCCGCCCTGTCCCCATTACTCTGAGCCGGAGAGTCTTTGTACAAGTCTTTTTCCTAAATACTAATGAAGTTCTTCCCCTCACTCACCCATTTTTATTTATTTTTTCTGTGACCATTTCAACTGGGATTTATGAAGGAGAGAAATTAAAGGCATATGCTTAAACAATTATATACAAATGCAAATTTTAAATTTATGTTTTAACAAGAGAAGGCAATGAATCTGAGGAGTGGAATTATGGATTATTTTTATCCTTTTCTTTGCAATTTTTCTTATCACAGTTGGGTATCTATTCCTGTTACTTAATAGATTCTTTTATCTTTTAATTTCAAACTTTAAAACATATAGAAAATAATATAACAGACATCCAGGTGCCCACCACAGAAGTTTAACAAATGTTAACATTTGCCCTATTTGTTGAAGATTTTTTTTAGGGCATCTAATTCTTTGATAATCAAAGGCTACAATACTCAGAGGAAGTTAATTCAGGGACTCTCTAAAGTCCTTCTGGACATAATGCATTTCTTGACAGTGAAACAGGAAGCTAACACTGTTGACGGGAAGCCTGGTAACTCGCTGTCTGGGGCCCAAAGCAGATTTGGGGACACTGGTGCCATTACCGTAGCCCTCTGGAGGGAAGGTGGGGCATATGTACACAGCTTGGATGCTGGAAGCTTCTAATTCCAGAGCCTAATGACATCCATTCCCTGACTTCCAGACTCTCAGAGTGGGGCACACTGACTAATATCCCTTTGCAGCTTTTAAATGTGGTGCGGGGCAGTCCTTGACTACTGTCTTTTCTTAAAACAGCTTTGTTGAGGTGTAATGGTAGGCAGAAGCCCTGCACTGCTCGTTGTGCACAATTTGATGAGTTTGCACTTACGCATGTGCTGGCAACATCATGGCTGCTGTCAAGGTACCAGACACATCCAACACCTCCCAGAGGTTCCTTGTGTCCCTCTGTGATTTATTAAAAATAATTATTGTGGTAAGAACACTTAACATGACAGCCACCCTCTTAACAAAATTTTAAGTGCATGCTACGGTATTTGTTAACTATGGGCAGGAGTTGCACAGCAGAGCTCCAGAATTACTCATCTCTCATAGATGAAACTTTATACCCATTGAGCAGCATCTCCCATTGCCCCCCACCCAGTGATGGCATCTCAGAAATACAGAAATGCGCTGCTTCTCACACAGTCAGTGTGTGCATGGCTCACCTGCGGGGCTGGTGGAGTGGAGCCTTATCTGGCAGGTCTGGGGTGGGGCCTTAGAGTCAGCATTTCTCATGATCTCCGAGGAGGTGCTTATGATGCTGGCCCCTGGTACACACTGGGCAACAAAGTCTCAGAGAATTCTGCACTGCCCCAGGCTGAAGGAGGCCACTCTGGTCGCAGATATCCAGAATCAATATATCCAACCAATATCTCATTGGTTCCAGTCAATACTGGGTCAGTTTTTAAATGCTTTGAATATCCCTTGCTCTTGGAGAAAACATTTGGCTACTAGGAAGCTTTGGATTTTGCTCTCAGTTTTGGAGGCCCCAA